ACTCAGGATCAAGTCCCATCACCCACATGGTCACCTACAACCACCTGTAACTCCAGTTCAAGGAGATTCAATGTCATTTTCTGACCTCTGTGGGCACCATGGAGGTCACATGGAAGCACACACTGCGCATACCTATGTGTACCTGCAATTAGAACATTCACATAAATGCATAAAGGAAGAAAATCTTTACACTTTTAAAATAAATAAACAAAAATAAAAACAAATATTTAAGAGCAAGCATGAGAGAGAATGTGATCTAAGAAAACCCCAAGCAGTTTCATGCTTTGCAGAAACGAGTGTGTTCATCATCCAAGGTGAGAACATGTTCGCCACTTGCAAGCCGAAGCTGCAGCCGTGACGGTGGGGCTCTGGCGCCACCTAGTGGACACTTGAAGTGTCTGTCCCTACCACCTGGTTCCTCTGGGTCTCTGGCTCTTGCTAATGCTTTGGGGAGTGGCAGCCACAGGGAGTGACGGGGCTCCTGTGAACTCAGGCTGTGTGTTGATGGACAGGAGCTCCTGGCTGCGTGTAGGTCTCTGTGAGCTCCACAGGCTGCTGGGATTGGCACTGCTAGCTTGGTCTCCTAGAGTGTCCCAGGTAGGCATCGTCTCTGGGTCCCTGGGTTTCTCTTCAACACGCCCTGTGACCTCTGTCCTGACTGACAGTCCTTTCCATTCTGAGGTGGGAGGAACCTTAACGCTGTGCATAGGGCCATGGTTCCCTTGACAAATTCAACTCTGACCTCCAGTCCACACCTGTTGTGGAGACAGGAGTGATTTTATCCGCACAAAGAAACAAACATAAAAACAAACAACAAGAACAACATCTGGCTCTCATCTGGTCCTTGAAGGGGGAAAAAAAAAAGGAAGGTTCTAGATCTGGAAGGTTAAAGAAGGGCAAAGGATTTTTTCTCAACAATGCCTAGGTGTTAAGCTCTTTCTCTTGCTGGAAACGGGGTACCCCCTTTCTCTTCTACACAATCTTCCCCACCTTTGTCTACTCGGGCACCTGTTACCACCCCTACCCCATTTCCACTCCTGGACAGAGGTCCCAGCCTCCCTGCAACTGAGTGTGTGACCATGTGGCCAGATCCAGGTCCTGGGTGTGAAAGGGGTCTCCAGCTTGTAGGAGGCTTGGCCCCACCCATTCTCCTCAGACTTCAGGGAGGTCCCCCAGGGCCAGGCAAAGCCCTTGAAATAAGCTTCTAGGCTGGGGCTACTGTAGCTCGTTGGTAGAGCGATTGCCTAACATTCATGAGGCCCTGGGTTCAATCCCCAGCACTTCACAAACCAGACATGATGGCACACACCTGTAATCCCAGCACTTGGAAAGCAGAGGCATGAAGATGAAGGATTAGAGGTCATCCTTAGTTACATAGTGAGTTCTAGGCCAGCCTGGTTACATGTGACTGTGTCTCAAACAAGTTTCCAAAGCTAGGCGCAATGGTAAACACCAAATCCCTAGCCTTAAGAGACAGGCAGGAGGTTTGCCATGACTTTGAGGTTAGTCCGGGATACACAGTGATACCATGTTTCAAATAAGGTGGTACATGTCTTTAATCCTAACATTCTGGAGGCAGAGACAGACGGATCTCTGAGTTTGAGGCCAGCCTGGTCTACAGAGTGAGTTCCAGGGCAGCCAGTGCTACACAAAAACCCTGTCTTGGAAAACCAAAATAAATTATAAATATAAATATAAAAAAATGAAAAGAGAGGAGTGTGAAGAGATTGCTCAACAGGTAAGAGTCACCCGAGAAAGGGAACCTCAACTGAAGAACCACCTCCTTAGAAGGCCTGTGGGACATTTTCTTGACTGTGCTGATTGGCGTGGAGGGCTCAGCCCACTGCGGGTGGTACCATCCCTAGGCAGGTCCAGCTGGGATGTGTAAGAAAAGTAGTGAGCAAGTTGGGGGAAGGGTGGTCAATAAACAGTGTTTCCCCATGGTCTCTGCTTCAGTTCCTGCCTTGAGTTCCTGCCTGGCTTCCCTCCGTGATGGACTGTGCAACATGCAAGCTGAGTAAACTCCTCTCCGAGTTATATCTGGTCACGATGCCTCTCACAGCAGCAGAGACACAACTGGGGCATGCTGTTATTCACCCTCCCCCCGTCACCTCTACCCGCATAGCTGTAGCTGTTTTCTCTCATCTAGGTCATGCTTTGGTCCTGTCTGCCGTATCCACCTGTCCCCATGACCACCCCTGACCCTCACCAAGAGCTCTGTCTTAGGGTTTCTATTGCTGGGAAGAGACACCATGGCCACGGCAACTCTTATAAGGAAAACATTTCACTGGGTTTCGGAGGTTCAGTCCATTGTCATCATGGCGGGAAGCATGGCAGCATTCAGGCAGAGGTGGTGCTGGCTACATCTTGATCAGAAGGCAACAGGAAGTGGACTCAGTGTCACACTGAGGGAAGCTTGAACAAAAGAGACCTCAAAGCCTGCCCCCACAGTGACACCTCCTCCCACAAAGCCACACCTCCTAATAGTGCCACTCCCTTTGGGGGCCATTTCCTTTCCAACCACAAGCTTCATGATCTTTGCAGCACAGGATCGTAGCCAGCCTCTCCCTGCCCTTAGAAAGGGACAACAGGAGGTGCAGCTCAGGGATAGCATCCAAGCCAGCATCTAAGAGACCCTAGCACTCAAAAAACAAAAAACAAAACAAAAACAAACAAACAAACAAAAAAACACATTACTTAAGCCAGCATGGTAGCATGAAACTGTATAATTAACGGCCAGCTTAAGCTGTGTAACAAGACCTCATGAAAAGAAAGAAAGGAGGGAGGGAGGGAGGGAGGGAGGGGAGAGGGAGGAAAGAGGAGAGTCCAGCTGCCACTTCAGCCCTTACTCCGGGTCCCCTTGGTCTCTGTGTGCAGCCTCTCTAGCTCTGTGCTCCCCAGACCCTGCCCTGCCCACAGATCTGCCTCCTGACCTCCTGTCGAGAACCTCTCAAACAGCACTTCTTCAAGAAGCCCTCAGCCCAAAGTCCCACTGCATGCAAATCCCTCTGAACCAGCTCTGTCTGGATTATAGCAGCCTCTGTCTGGATTATAGCAGCTGGGCTTCCCAGCCCCAGGGTCTCTGCACTTACTCTCCCTGCCTGTGCCTAGTGTGACCTGTGCCTAGTGTGACCTCTCTCCAGATGTCAGCAGAGCTGGCCCTTCACCTCCACATCCTTCTTCATCCACATCCACTGCCTCACCAACTCAAC